GTGGATACATTAAATATAAACTATCCCTTATCAAATGGCAGTTGATTCATTCAAGAGCAGCGAGTGATTTTATATTTGTCTTTTGTTGTTTGATTAACAATGCCTGCAGCAGATTTATTAGTCTGCTGAAGAGCTGCACACATCCAATATAGTGTTACATGCATGTATGCATTTTCTTTCACAACGGTTTACATTCCCTTAAAACATAATTGACTGTGTTAACGAAGATTCTTACCAAAATGGCATTTCCACATATTTGTGTATAGGCTATTTGACCATGTATCTGAAGCACACCGTATACTTAGCTTATGCATGTTCCCTTCAGTCACAAAGCGCGCACAGAAAGCCATGTAGGGAACAGCATCTCTTTCGCGAATTTTGATAACACTGTTTTATATCACACACTCCCCCAGTTTATCAACAGTAGCCTGCATTTTAAAACACTCACATACGTATTTGGCTGACTTGGATGTCAAGTTTATGGAGGAACGAAAGTGCACTGCCATGAAGGAAAGGAATGTGCGCTGGACGGAATACGGCAGCGGCATACTAATCGTTTTACATCAATTATCTTATTTTTGAAAAAATCAATTATGATTAAATGCACAGCCCTATTATATAAAACAAATTAAATATTAAAATATGAGAGGAAAAAAAAAAAATCGAACAACAAAGTCACAAACATCTAATCATTACAGAATACAAGCAAGAACAAATCAAACACATTCTGATCAATTATTCTTAAAAATATCAACAAATCAGCATTATAAGTTGTTACTGTTAATAGTTATTGGTCTCTATGAAAAATAAAGAAGGACTATAATAATATTTTCTTGATGTTTACGAGCACTATAATCTCTGAACAAATGGCACACATCAGTTTAACAGAAAGAATAAAGGCATAGTTACTTTTTTGTCCATTCTTCTTTGAATTTTCGGTCTACATCATCGTCTCTGTGTATCAGAATGATTGATCATGTCATTGCACACATATATTTAATTTGTAGAAGACATGATGAAATATGTGTGCATTCACGGTGCCGTTTCATATTTGCAGCAGGTGAGTATGTGAAATATGTACATAAAAACTTCAAACACTCTTGCTCCGGTGCAGATATAAACTGATATCAGGAAAAGAGGCAAAGAATCTTTTTTTTATTTATGTTTTTTTATAAATCAAATGTAAAATTCATCCCCCAGTTATTCCTACACTTAATGTTGAACATTTTCCTGTGAAATAAACCAAATACAATTTTATTTTGTATTTTTGTATTATCAAATGTAATTAATGTTGTTAAAGCAAAGTACAAATCTAATCAAGTAACTGTTTTACTGTAACCTTTTACACTTATTCCAAAATAATAACAAAAAGGAAGTAACAATTTAAAGGTGCTCTAAGCGATGTCACGTGTTTGTCTTTGTCACATACAGCAAACATCTCCACACTATCCGCTAGCTAGCTGCCTGTCCCCTGAACACACAATAAAAAATGCGTTCTCTGTAAACACCCCAGGCTCCACAAACGGCAACAAAAACAAACTGGGGCAACCCGCAATACGAAACATAAACAGTGCTCCAGCCAATAGAGGGAATGCATTGACGCCGCTTTCCCCCCAGAACAACCCCCCTCAGCCTGACTGTATGGCTAAAGATCTGCTGCGTGACTGGATTTAATAGAGGAAAATGCGACTAAAACGAACAATTTTATTAATTTAAACTAAACGTTGGACTCAATATAGTGTTCCTTAAAACTTACTAAATATCCAGTGATCCATGGATATTGACATGCAGCCATGAATCGTGTTGCCTGACATTTATGTTTCCCTGATTTCGACAATGGGGAAATAAAAGCAATATAGACCTAAACATGAATCAAATTTGCCTGTGAACGCTTTATATAAATACAATATAGGTATATCAGTGTTTTATAGCCTATGTACTGTATATATCATCATGTCGTCCACGTCCAGCCCTAAAACGTTATAGTTTTTTTGTTTTTTTTGGGCCAGTGTTTATTAAAAACATCCAATGATGCAGAATATGCAATGATAAATATTTAATTGATGAGTTGTTAATATAACAATACAAAATATATGGGTATGGTTTTACAGCTAAATTCAGCATATTGACACAAAATGATAACTGCAAATCCACCTTTGCTGACTGGAGTCCAGTTGTTTCTGTGAATTGCAGCGATCCATTTGCTCCTCTTTCTATAGCAGTCTGTAAAAATATACCTCTGATTTTTTGTCAAATCTAGTCAATCGCAAAGCTCTTTCCCACTTTATATGCGTTGTGTTTGTTTTTCGCGGTGAAAACAAATACAGCCGCTCAGTCTTTTTGCCACTCACTGTGAGTAACGGCAGGCACTCCGGCTGACGGTAACGTCATGCGCATTGCCTCTATAACAAACAATAATGATTTGGATTTTTTAAATAAAAAAATTAAAATAAAACCCAAGATTGGTAAGGACTTGTAGGCTATTTGGTAGCCTTTCACTGTCTTATTTGTCACAGTCACTCACTATCGGATTTATCCGATGTCTTACTAAAATACTGTGAATTATCATAATGTGTGTAAAATACAGAGTTTTTATTTACACACAAATAAATAAAAGCTAATCAAATTTCCTCTGGAAAACAGTTTGTTCATGTCTTTGGAGTACTGGAGCACAGGAATAAGCATTATAACTTGTACAGAACCAAAACTATTTTCATTTTTCCAAAAGAAGTCCAGGCGTTTTGGGCCTCATGAAATTCACTGGTGCCAAGCCTCAAAACAGTTCCTATCAGCAATCACACAGAGGGCCACATCACAGGCTTTGCATTTCTATTTTATTTATTCTTTTATTTATTATATTCTTTTTACACTTTTGCACTACATTACTACTATAATACTTTTTTACAGTAAAAAAATAAATGGCACTTCAGCTGGGTCTATCCTGGTAGTCCTGTCAAAAAGCTCTGTTCTCCTGAAAATCCATCATCCTGCATGCCATCAAAAAAGGCCAGCGCTCAATTTACATCCATTTTTCTCAGTGTTTCTCAGTGAAACGCGCGTCTCTCTCTCTCTCCACTATATCAGAGCTTGGTTAATGCTTAATGACGCACACCAATGTTGACGACGGATCAGCCTGTAATTGGTCAACAACCATCAGATATCCAAAATGGCAGCTAGCATCGAGCTAGCGGCAAAAATGACGGAAAATTTATAAATTATGGACATCAAGTGGACCAAACTTGGATTTAAGTATTTGGATTTATTGCTGAAAAACTCGAAATGATGCACAAGTTCCAGGCTGGATAGAAAACCTTCTGTAAAGGTTAGAAAGACACCCCCGTGATGGCTAGCTCGTTAGCTTTCTGCTGGAAAAAACGGTAAGAAAAATGAATAAATCTGTCATCGAATAACATAAATATTTATCAGAGGTTCCGTGTGGCACCGTCGGTCTCTGGGGGTTAAGGGGAAGGACTGGAACGTCTCTAACCATGTCGGTAACCAAAGAGTTGATGGACCCCACTGACTTCCATAGTATTTTTTTTCCCTACTATGGAGGCCAATGGAGCCCATCGACTGTCTGGTTTCCGAAATTCTTCAAAACATCTTCCTTTGTGTTCAGCAGAAGAAAGAAATTCATACAGGTTTGAAACAACTTCAGTGTGAGCATATGATGACAGGATTTTTTTTTTTTTTTTTAAGTGAACTTGATCTTTAATTTGCAGATGCCCACCACAGCACCTCCCCTTGACCAATAGCAGTGTGATTTGAGGAGGAGGGGTGTATTAACTAGGGCTGTCAAAATTGCTCAAAAATTACGTTCGAATATTCCCTCGAAAAAAACATGCGAATATTCGAACTATTCGAATATCTGGTTGCGCATTTTTTCAGTGACGCGCATTATGTCATTAACAGGACGAATTAATACAAAGAGGCATAACTACTTGTATAGGTACTTTATTTAATTTTAAACATATTTAATAACGTATTACCTACACAAAAAAGTACAACAAAGTAATGGGCAAGACTGCAAACCTCACGCTCCAACGCAATAGGCCTATCTAATTAGTTAGCCTACAGGCTGTTTCTGTTTAAAGTTAAATAAAATGAGGCACACAATTCCGAGAAATGTGACAACGCCTTTACCCTGAGGTTCATAAAAAAATAAAGAACTATTAAAAACGAAAAAGGCTACTTACATTCTTGGTGCTTGAATAAAAAAAAAGGAAGAAAAAAAAACTGACGGCAATTTATTCCGTTGTCTTTTTAGTGCGCACTGTCACCGTCGGATCTACAGGTTATTTGCCAAAAACACAAGACAGTCCACATTTGAAGGGGCCAGTGCTGATTTCTTATTATTTACTATATTCCCAGCGGAGGAAAAAACGCGTTCGGAGCGCACTGAGGATCCGGGGATGGAAAGATATTTCTTTGCCATCTGGGCGATGTGAGGGTAGACTATCTCCCAGAGCCCAAAGTTTTCCACCACATGAGAGGATTTTGTTGAGCAGGTACTGGAGACTCTTGTTCATACATTAACATCTCTTTTTGAAGCAGCAAATTGATGTCCTGGTCTGGGTTGTCCGCGCAATACGTGTCTCCGAAGAGACCATAGCAGATAACGCAGTTTTCTCAGCGGGCTGCCGATCACGTGTCTGTCCGGCAGCGGCCTCACTCATTTTGGGGGTTAAAATCACTTTCTCTGCTGCGGTCGAGTTGGGCTCTGCACTTTCTGCAGTGAGTGACGCTGTGCCAGTGCGACACCTGTCTCTGAACCCTAATCAGGCAGCGTGCACGGCCACTCTCAAAACAGACAGCCGCGCCTTTGCTTGCGCGGGCGTTTTTTTTTTTTTTTTTTTAATTCGAATATTAATTTTCACCTTCGAATTTCTGTTTTTTAAAACTATTCGAATATATATTCGAATTTAGAATATTCGTTGACAGCCCTAGTATTAACACACTCAGGCAGTTTCAGCAGCACCGCCACCCGTGTCCGATAACACTTCTTTGAACACTGTGGCATGACGTATTATTATCGTAATTTATTCACCAGTAGATAAAATCAGAAAACACAAAAATACACTATGAGGAGCAGTATGAGTTTATTATTTCACTAAATAAATTATGTTTGTTTACAAAGGTGCATAGAAACAGCAGATTTGCCAGAAGTGTCTGCAAGTGGTTCAGTGTCAAAGGTAGAAACATGTTCCCCAAACCAGTGTTTCCCAACACTGTTCCTGGCGGCACACCAACACTGCGCGTATTCTTTGTCTCCCTTATCAAACACACCTGATTCAACTCATCAGCTCATAATCAGATGGGTTAAAGGGTTAGTTCACCTAAAAATGAAAATTCTGTTAGTATTTACTCACCCTCATGTTGTTCCAACCCCGTAAGACCTTCATTCATCTTCGGAACACAAATTAAGATATTTAAGATATTAAGATCGCTCCTGCATACTAGTCCATATGCTTCTTAAGGGAATGACTCTTGCTGGCATCGACAAGTCATTAAAGACATCATTAAAATAGTCCAAGTGACTACAGTGGCTCAATTTTAACTTTATCAAACGACGAGAATACTTTTTGTGCGCAAAAACAAACAAAAATAACGACTTTATTTCAACTATTCACTTCCTTCTCCATGGGCCTGTAGTCAGTTAACGTAGTGTGATTGCGTAAAGCAACGTCGCACGTAGGCTCACTACTGGCCCGACGCTGGTCATGTGTGTGATGCGTGTGACGTACAATAACAGAAGCTTATGCTATTAAACTAGTAACCTGACTCGCGCAGAGGGAGAAATAAACGAATAGTTGAAAAAAGTCGTTATTTTTGTTGTTTTTTTGCGCACAAAAGTGTTCTCGTCGTTTGATAAACTTAAGATTGAGCCCCTGTAGTCACTTGGACTATTTTAACGATGTCTTCAATGACTTTTCGATGCCAGCAAGTCATTCCCTCAAGAAGCCTATGGACTAGTATGCAGGAGCGATCTTAAAATCTTAAAAATCTTAATTTGTGTTCCGAAGATGAACGAAGGTCTTACGGGGTTGGAACAACATGAGGGTGAGTAAATACTGACAGAATTTTTGGGTGAACTAACCCTTTAATGAGCTGATGAGTTGAATCAGGTGTGTTTAAGAATACGCGCAGTGTTGGTGTGCTGCCAGGAACAGGGTTGGGAAACACTGCCCCAAACTAAAGCTGGCAGTAGACAAGTTAAATTATTTTTCATAGCAGCAATAAAACACAAATAGAATAATAATAAAAGAAAGTGACTTTCGACCTAAGTGGCAAAGACCCATGGCTTTGTGGTTTAATGGGCAGTTTTATATCAATCAAATGTCTCTGATAATCTATCGACAAACCTATACATTGATGTGAGGCAGTAATAATTTATTGTGCAGTTACGTAACAATCAACTTTTAGTAAATAAATTATTGTAATGCATGGCAACGATTTCCTTTACACAACATGGCAGCTTGTAAGGCTATATTCATGTTGAAAATAATGAATTATATTTATATAAAGTTGTTTGGATGAAAACAATTTCAAAACAACTACACACAACAAAAAATGATTTTTGTATACCACATATACCACAAGCTTTTAGAACAGTTTGTAACTTTTAACATTACAATTTAACCATTTAATTTAAAAGTATGACAACTACTAAATAAACAGCTGTGGAACATCCTGCAAAAGTCATGTTTGAACCGGTTCTAATCGATTTTTTTCATCTATGTTCTCCAGATCTGATTCAGGCTCAAACTGATAAGGTAACATGTTTGACATTTTTACAATATCTTTCAGGGCAACGTGCGATAAGCTGCTGTCCAATCACAACACAGGTGTGATTATAATAATTATTATCCCATTAAACACAGGTGTGATTATAATAATTATCAGCCCGTTTTTTTGGACCGTAAAAACAGCGGTATGCGGATAAGTAAATTGAGTGTTGAGTTATTTACACTCGAAACACGAACACATGTTATATTGCACACTGTAAACACAATCAAAGCTTCCAAAACACATGAAGAACGGAACCTTTAAAATACTAAAATAACTAAAATCTCTCTCAAAAATCACACACCAAAATTAGGATTTTATGTCAAATATGATTAGATTACACTGAAAATATATTTCAATTAATTAAATTAAAACATTAGTATTATTAGCCATTAAAATGACCTCATAAAACGTAAAAAAGAAAAATTACATAAAAGAATTGTTTTGCCAAGAATGCCAACAGTCCATTAAACTACCACTACTGCAGTGCAGAATGCATAAAACAGTATTCCTGAAGCATCACACACACACACACAACACCGCCCATAATGACATGTCTGTGAGAGACCCGAGTGGGCATAGAGATGCAAAACACTGCCACGCCTGGCACTGCAACCGAAGTTAACCAAACACAGAGAGGCGCTTGTGCACATTTTCACACAGCAAAGAGATGAACCCAAATGAACCTTGATGGACATAGTACTCAAGCCACCACTTTGCACAACGCCTCCGTCACACATAAGCTAACAAATGTAATCACTTATTGAGACAACCAGTACTAGTCTTATCAGATCTCAAGCACCAGATACAGAAAGCGTGATACAGACATGGTGAAAGTGGACATCCATGTCACAATAACTGCAAACGAAGAGCACAAGGCATCTCTGACCTTATATTGAGCAAGGCCCCGTCCAGGCTGTCAAAGCCCATCTCATAAGTGCTGTCTGAGCTGACGGAGGAGGGGGAAAGGGAGCGTGGATTGTCCTCCATCTGCAGGTCCAGCTTCCCTGCGGTCTCATCCTCGGAGTTATCCTCGGACACAGAGCCCACAATGAAGTGAGTGTGCAGTGCAGCCACAGCTGGAAGCTTCTTCTCGGTGGAGTCCTGCTCTGCCATGGGTAGGCCACGCTGACAGGCTGCAAGCACTATGGGAGGGAGAAAAAGATCCATTTGTTAGCATTCAAGTCTTTAAAACCATGCAAATGTCACTACTGATTTCTTAAATAAACATATTTTTTCCAATGAACATATGACAAAAAAACAAGGATAATGTGATGCAAATGTGTATCTTGCATAGTCGCAATGTAAAAAAAAAAAGAAAGAAAAAAGCAACAATTAGTATTTGGACTAACTCTTTACAAAGTAATTAATTACTATAATTGAAAAACTCAAGTAAGGGATTACTCTTATATTACACTTAATTAAATTAGTTATTTCTGATGTAATTGCATTACATACTTAAGAACAATTCTATAAACAATATTGGATTTAACATCTTATGTTAAAGTGTATGTATTTTTTTTTAATAATATTCTCCATTTAAATACTTTTGTGAGTTCAAAAATAGTTCATGGAATTTTATATTATTTAATTGAAAGAGCATTTTCATGTCTATTCTTGCTTTGGTTGATATGGGATTTAGAAAATAATTAGCAATAAGTTATTCAACACTTTTTTAGAGAGAGTAATTAGTACTGTAATCACTGTTGAATATGCTATTAATATCTAGATAGTAATGAGGCTAATTACTGGTAGCAACACATTTTTTTTCTTACATATTTTGACATACAGCTTACTGAAACAGATTATCAAAAAAAAGAAAGAAAAAAAGTAGGGTCGGGACTTAGTTTGGGGCGAGGACTCCATCGATTGTAAGAAAAGCCGATGTTTTTTTTTTTTTTTTTTTTAAACTAAATGATTGGAGAAGTCAAATTTTCACCTGATTTTTTCATTTTAAAAAATTACAAGCGCAAAAATGTTCTTAACTTAAACAATACAATGCATAATACAATGCTTTTCGAAAATAGATTTTCAGATTCAGATTTCCAATTCATATCAAGTTTAATAAAAGCAAACTCACTATGACAGATCAGGTCTTACTGAATGTACTGGTATCACATGGTAATATGGTATTTTTATATGTATCGGAAATGAATGATTACAATATTCATTATTTTTTGATTATCATTTTTGGTCATTGAAGTGGCATTGTGAGTTATTAAATACAAGATATGACTGACAAATAGGTGACCATGTATTCTCTTGATTCAACAAGGAACATTCAAGAAATGCATGTTGGAACTTGCTTTTACATTCATGAAATATGTGCAACAGTCACTATCCAAGTCATGCTTTACTAGAAAAGAAACAAGTGCAGCAGTAATATAAGACAGTCCTATAAATAATACCATGGCACTAGACCATTGTAATTGAAGTCGCATGTGTACTATTATAGTATTTATTATTAGTTTGAATTAACTTATTTTTATATTTTATTTGTTTCAGTTTTTGTAAGTATGTTAAGAGCTTTTGTCATTTTTTTATATTTCTGTAAGACTTTACAATAAGGTCATAATAGTTAACATTAGCTAATCTGCTAATGCATTAACAAACATTAACAATCAGCAATACATTTCTTACAGTGTTTAAAAGTCTTTGTTAACATTAGATAATATAAATACAACTGTTAATTGTTCGTTCATAAGCTCAGGTCCATTAAATAATCTTAACAGATAACTTTTCATTTTAATCATGTATTAGTAGATGTCAGACTAATAAATGCTTCTTTTATAAGCATTTTTTTTTAAACCCTGGGAACTTTATCTCAGCTTTTCGCCAAGGCGACATTTTTAAGTTGTCCATTTAATATTTATATTTTACTTTATCTCAATTAATGTAAATTTTAATAGTTTTACTTAACAACATTGACACTACAAATACCATGATTAGTACTACACAGCATCACAATATTTACATAGAAGGTTGTAAAATAGTACAGGTAAAATGATGTACTTCCTCCAAGTAGTATGTATGATCTACTTCCTCCAAATAATGATATGTTTGGTACTTATTTGTAAGTGATGCTCTGTGGACATAGTATCATATTGTTATGTTTTAGGTCTCGTACTATGTCATTAGAAATAACATGGCAACCAAAGCACCATGGTGTTATCGTCGGCTCCCTAAATTTCACAAGTACTGTAACAGTAGCGTTATTGTGCGTTACCCATTTTACGTTTGACTCCATGAGAACCTGTCTGATTACTGTACGTTAGCTTGTTTTAACTTAACTGGAGGACAGACATGTGAAAAGAAATATTACCTCATCCAGCCTGATGAACCTGACGAACGAGTCTCAGAGCATCGCGGACCCTAATGTCTAACACTCCCTTTTAACTATCTAACACTTACATTAGAGCTCATTTGCACTCGTGGCCCATAACCAGTTGCCTTTAATCAGTATGATAGTCATAATATTGCCATCCTTCAAAAATCTGAATTGCCTGTCTCAACTTAAGTTATATACTGATGCAGTATCTGTTGAACCTAGCACAGATGCTAAATCAGCATACCATCACAAACACTCCTGCCTTCTGATCTGCGTAGGTTCGCCAGCCAAAGTCGCTGTTGATTTTTTATAAATCCATCTAGTATGAGCAGTGTCATGTACAGCACTAGTTACCAGGCACTCGCTCCCAGTAATAAGCTTAGCCTTATGTACTCACCGTGAGACAAGAGTCTGCAAGCAATTCTGGTGCGTGTAAACGGACGTTAGAATATCGATTGAATGAATTCCCTCCTCTTAATGGAAGGCCATCTCCTCTCTGGTGATGGCTAATAGGCTATATAGCAGCATAATGGTACAGGCTGTGTAGTTCCAGCCTCTTTGACAGCAGCATCACGGTGGTGTGATGCGAGGGGGGGTTACTTCTGGACGTCGTCCTTTGACCTCACCGATGTAACCACTCACGCTGCATCAGTGGACCAATCGTATTGCGCGCTTTGTTCGGGGCGGGTTTACGCATGCAAATAATTGGGACGCTTCGTTAGACAGACACGTGTTTTGTGTCTGTTGACTGTTCTTAGAGATACTTTTGTTGCTTCAATTAAAACAGCAAATAAAAACGTGGATGTAGAGCGTTAATGTATTTGGCTTTAGACATCAATGTCTGAATGTCTGAAAAATGAAGAAAAAAAACATATTTATGGCTAAAGCATTTTTAAAATTATTATTTACACGTTTTATTATTATTATTATTATAATTAGGCTTACGAATACTCGTGATGACATTTTCCCTAAAATGCCTAGTTAGAATAGTTTTGAGAGTGTGAAAGTAAAAGAAGCTGTTAAAGTGAACTTGTGAGAAGATTTTGCTTGTTTGGGTGTGAGAGTTTACTTGCTGTGTTGAGTGTAACTAATTACTAAGTAATTAGTTACTGTAATTTGATTACTTTTCCCTTGAAAATGTAAAGTAAGGGATACTCTACTCTTCATCTACTCTACTCTTCATCACTAGCTACTCTTCATTTATCTGTAATTTAATTACAGTTACTTCTGATGCAATTGAGGTAAATACTGAGATCAATCCGATCTCACAGCGATTTGTATGCATTTTATGAGGTGTCTAAATTGTCCGACCGCACTCGTACAAATTCGTATGAATTATTAAAAAATATGTATGAAAAAAGTGTGAAATGTCATGAGATCAGACACAAAACAATAGTGGGTTTAACATCAAAATGTATTGTCTGATTTTAAAAAGTTTTTTTTTTATAATGTAACCTTCTCCACCTTGGTCAGTTTAAGGATAATTCATGCAATTATAGTATTTATTTGAAAGAATTAAAACAGATTCAATTACTTTTTTTAGAGTAGGCTAACTTACCCAACACTGTTTACTTGTTTGGTGTGATGACCAGTGCTTGAAGGGCCACTTATATATTTTACATACCCGTCTATATACCCTCACATCAGTGAGATGAGGGTAGCCTAGTGAATTAAAGGTGGGGTAAGCGATCTTTGAAAAACGCTGTTTGAAAGTTGGTCGAACCCACACAGCTACATGTAGCCAATCAGTAGGGTGCATATGATTGTGGAGGAGAGAGAACTATCAAGAAGGAGATTTGAAGAAACGCTGCAGAAAGAGAGATGGCTGAGAGAGACATTACAAAACAGAAAAGCTCATATCACTGGAAAATTAAGGTTTTGATTAGGAAAGAGCTGTAGGGCTCACATTAAGAAAAGCTTTCCAGCGCTAGAGAGAACGCAGTATCGAAGGCCTGAAAACAGATGTGGAGGTTGCTTTGTTTCTGCAACATATGTGAGTAACTGGTTTTGAGTATCATTGTCTGGAGCTGCTGTACTGTTGGCAACTAACAACTTACGTATTGTGATGTATTATTTTTTTTATTTATTTTTTTTGTGCTTCCTTGTTGTTCATTATCACTGTATTTTCCGTGAAGCACTGTTTTATTGCAGTTGCTACGATAAATATGGTGCGTTCAAGTCCTCCTGGGGAAGTTCGTACGTACGAGGTGGGAAGTCGTGTTTACGACGGCAGTGTGTTCAAGTCACTTTCGTCGGAGGAAGATGGCGGAGTACTGTCTCTTAATTAATTACCAGTGTTGTAGTCGAGACCACCTCACTCGAGTCCGAGTCGACACCGAGACCAGAGAGAGTCGAGTCCGAGTCAAGACCGAGTCCATAGAGAGTCGAGTCCGAGACCAGAGACGGTCGAGTCCGAGTCGAGACCGAGACCAGTGAGGGTTGATTACCTAATTTACTTTTATTTACTTAGAGAAATCCTTTTTTTTTTTTTTTTACTGAATTTACTTAGTTTAAAAAATATGATCAGTTTAGGGTAAAAAGGCCACATAGTAGGTGGTGTTAAAAGTAATTTTATTACAATTTGTCATGCGCAGTTGCGCACTAGAAAATCACCAATCACTGGGCGTGTCAATCAATTTGAAGAAATATTTTATTAACATACATTAATAATCATGAAAAATATTTTTAATTGAACTCGAGTGGACTCGGGAATAATTCCGAGTCCTAAAAAAAAAAATGTTCGAGTACGAGTCAATTCCGAGTCCAAATGGACACGAGTCCATGACGAGACCAAGACCATTAAAATATGGTCTCGAGACCGAGTCCGAGACGAGTCCGAGTCTCGAGTACTACAACACTGTTAATTACACAAAAATACTGTAAGGATCTTAAACTCTTGTCACTGCATAATATTAAAGTTTTGTGGTATTCCGCCATGTTTCTCAGTGACACGCCCACAACTCAGAAAGATCCAGGCTTACAAAATCCCGAGCTCCCCACTGGTATTTGCGACATTGTGGTGGCGTTCAAGTGCATTCAACTCGTAAATACGATCTATACGAGATGACTTGAACACACCAATAGACATCCACTGTTGCATTGCGTGTGTAATAATGGTGGCCAACTAGTGAGAGTTTTGCAGACTGATGACTGCTAGACAAGATTGACTCGGAGCACGGCGGTTAGGATTGGAGGGTGAGCTTTGGAGGTGGAGCAATGAAGAGAGGGAGGTGTTTGTTTGGGTTGATTTCAAATATCAACAATGTTTAGCAACAACTTTCAGAACATACTGCACCTTTAAACATGCAACATGATAGGCTACATGATAAATATAGTAAATGTAGCATACTACTGCTTAAAACTGCTTTGCTGGAACTGCCTGGTCCTGCTGATTTTCCTTCAAGCCCTTCCTATTGGTGCATGCTACACAAATCCTAAGCCTTTTGTTCTATCCAGACTGGACTATTGTAATGCTCTTTTGGCAAGCCTTCCAGCATGCACTGTCAAACCTCAGCAACTGATCCAGACTTTGGGAGCAAGAGCCGAAGAAAGCGAATGTGCGCTGGTTGCCAATAGCTACTCACATCAAACTCAAGGCACCGAATTGTCTACAGAACAACCACTGGCTCTGCACTCCTATTCCTAAACTCACTAGCTTGCATTCTGCAAGTGAATGACGCCTTGTTGTGGTATCCCAGAGAGGCACAAAATAATTTTCACTGTCTTTTACCTTGACTGTTCCCTGTTGGAATGACCTAACTCAACCCAAGCTGCTGAGTCTTTAGTCGTTTTTATGAAAAGGCTAAAGATGCATCTTTTTCTTCAACACTTGACCTACTGTATTAATATGAATGCTTACTATTATACAGCCCCTTCTCATCCCAAGGCGTCATATACTTACACTTTTGACAATGCGTATACAGTACATCCAACGCATATGGCAACCTTTAGCGTCAATATAATGCTGCGTTCAAGTCATCTCGTATAGATCGTAATTACGAGTTGAACGCACTTGAACGCCACCACAATATCGTAAATACCAGTGGGGAGCACGGGATTTTCTTTAAGCCCCGATCTGTACGAGTTGGGGGCGTGTCAGTGAGAAACGTTCATTCAACGTCTGTTGACGGTAAATTTTAATTGAATTTCAATGTTTACTCATTGACATTGTAAGGCCTTTTCATTTATAAAGCAAGCTCTCTGCACAAAATATGACATCATTGTAATATAAAAATTATACCTAATGATAGTTTACATTGGCTTCATAAGCTAATAAAAAACATAAAAAGAAAAACACACCTGATGCGCATTCTTTGTTCTTCATTTTTTTATTAGCAGAGTTAAAAAACCTGCTGTATTTTCGTGTAATTCATTAAAAGAAGGTACACCGCCATTTCACTCCGGCGAAACTGACTTGAACGCACCTCACATCGTAAACACGACTTCCCACCTCGTACGTACGAACTTCCCAGGAGGACTTGAACGCATGAGACGCAGATATATATGGGCCAGAAGGCGCCTTCTAGTGGTCTAACCCTAACCCTACCCCTAAAACCTAAACCTACCCATAACCGAAGCGTGTTATATTGACGCTAAAGGGGGGTGCCATGTGCGTCGGATTTAGAAGCATTGTCAAAAGCGTCACTATATGACGCCCTAGGATGAAAATGCATTGAATTATATTATATTATATCATATTATTATATTATATTTCCTATTTATTTATCAAGAAAACCTCACTTTAAGCACATTTTACTCTCTACTTACATTTTTGAATAAGTGTAGGCCTACTCTTTACTCCTTTGTGAAGAGTAACGCAATCACTCAATACAATTTGCAACTTTTTCTGCAGCAGTTTATTTCTGCTACAAAAGAAGCAATATCACATCTACTTATGATTGAAGGTACTATATCTTGTGTGTTTTGCCCTCCCTCAACTTGTCAACAAGGCTACTTTACACAAATGCTAACTAGTGCATTTACACAAATGCTAATTAGTGCATTTACACAAATGCTAACTAGTGCATTAGCACAAATGCTAACTAATGTATTAGCATGTTGTGAATTGCAGGTGTTTCATAAATGAGATGAGGACATGACTGCAACCAACGAGGCCGAAACCAGCACCAAGTAGGCTTTGACACTTTCATTTTACTTAACATTATTTTACTTATCCATTAAATGGAAGAGACATTTTTGAAGGATATTATTTTACTGATGCCCCTTTTGAGCCCTTAAGCTTAATTGAACTTTTGTAGTATTTGTAGAGATTTTAGAGACAGACTGTTGTAAGACCTTGGTTCATTGCATTTTTAAGCAACACTTAAGTATTGTTAAAATTAGATACTATAGACTTTTACTCAGTTGGAATTGGTGACTTGTAATGGAGACTCTGAACATTCCATGAGAAGCTTTAGTTTTTAGTTTTTGAAAATCTTAATCTATGTTTGTACAATAACAGCCTTGGTCAACCCAACATAACAGAACTATCACATTTCATTGGCACCCAGCAGTTGATAGTCATGTTGTCTGTGTTTCCCAACACTGTTCCTGGCGGCACACCAATACTGCGCGTATTCTTTGTCTCTCTTATCAAAC